AAAAAATTAATTAATATATATATTAAATAAAACAAATAATAAAATTTATTAAATTATCATAATTACTTTGAGGCAACCAAAATTCCTCTTCCATCATCTCATAAAACTCTATATCGTATCTATTAGGACTTCTTAATGGAAGTCCTTCAGGATTTTCTATCCTGATTCTTCTTATATTTTTATACCCACGAACTAACGCGTTCCACTTAATCTGACATTGTCTTCCAGAGACTTGTATGGGATTAGTGTTACTAATTTGTAGAGATATTTGATCCCAAAGGCCAGAATGTTCGTGATTGCTAGCATTTTCGAACTGTACTCAATAATCATATCTTAAATTAATTAAATCTTGGGTCACATCGAAGGTCCAAATACTCGCTGACATTTTTGAATTTTTTTTAATGAGTAAGTTGTAAAAAACTTATGGGTATTTATACACAAAAAAATTATTAAATCGTATTATTCTCATCTTACATTTATCACAAAAGTTAAAATTCGAAATCAAATATAATACATGCACACGTGCAGATTTGTTATTATAAAAAATCATTCCTGCATAATTATATTATTGAAACTTTTAATACATTTAAGAAAAATATTAACAAAAATTTTTACTAATAAAACAGACATTCCTGCATTATTATATATTAATTATATTAATTGTACTTTAATCACGTTTAATATGAAGATATATATCATTTAATCGGTATAAAAAATTTTAATTATCAAATATATCAGTTAATAGTTATTTAAAATCATTCCTGCATATTTATATTATTGAAACTTTTAATGCATTTAAGAAAAATATTTTTATTCAATTGTATGTATATACAACTTATAGAATATTATCTAGTACATGATTATTTAATTAAACTAAAATTTTTACTAATAAAAGGAGTCATACACTCTAATGGATACTCAAAAAAAAGGAGTCATTCCTGCATAATTATATATTAATTGTACTTTAATCATGTTTAATACGAAGATATATATCGTTTAATCGGTATAAATATTTTTAATTACCAAATATATCAGTTAATAGTTATATAAAATCATTCTTGCATTTAAGAAAAATATTTTGATTCAATTGTATATACAGCTTATAGAATATTATCTAGTACATGATTATTTAATTAAACTAAAATTTTTACTAATAAAAGGAGTCATACGCTCTAATGGATACTCAAAAAAAAGGAGTCATTCCTGCATAATTATATATTAATCGTACTTTAATCACGTTTAATACGAAGATATATATCGTTTAATTGGTATAAATATTTTTAATTACCAAATATATCAGTTAATAGTTATATAAAATCATTCCAGCATAATTAATCGTACTTTAATATGAAGTTTATGATAAATTATAATGATCCGCTATAATTCTCGTATAAATTGAAAAGGTGTTGAGCTTTTCTCAATATACAATTCAGATAGGAGATATAATTAATAGAGCTTTACGATAAATTATATTAATCCGCTATAATTCTCGTATAAATTGAAAAGGTGTTAGGCTTTTCTCAATATACAATTCAGATAGGAGATATAATTAATAGAGCTTTACGTTATACAAATATTTTCAGTGATTCCCATGTTTATTCCGATAAATTATAATGATCGGCAATAATTCACGCATAAATTAAAGTGTTGGGCTTTTCTCAATATACAATTAAGAAATATTATTAATGGAGCCTTAAAACTTAAAATAAAGGGAGAGAAGAAATGTTAAATGTAGTTTTTTAAAAAATACAATCACTAATTACAAAAAAAAACACAAAATTTAGATGCTGAATCATTACTTCTCTTCGAATTAAGATTCAGGATTGCCAAATAGTTTCC